TGAGGAAGAGCAGACGAGGAAAAAAGGATAATGAGGAGGTGCCTTATGAGCTTATTCCATGAATGAACTCATACATCAGAGTCAGAAATTGCTTTTTAGGATCCACCTCTGAACAGAGCAATAACACATCTCAATTTAAGGCTCCAATACAGAATTTTGGTTGTAAAGATCCTCTCATGAATTGAGGTGCAAAGGAGTACTCTTTTTCATAGACACAACAATTGCTCTGACTTCTTGTTCTAAGTGATGTTTTTGCTGTTTCAGTGATGTGTATCTGAATGATTGGCTGAAATTATCTGGATGGGCTTTTTGGAGGAAACAGATTGATGAATTCAAGATAACACCCTCTGCAACTTCTAGATTAGATGCATTTAAAGCCTAAAATGATGTTATAGTAGATCTAGATTATTAAGATTTTTTATATTCCTCTTCTTGATACTCATGGTTTAATAATTAATTTAAACAATCCAGTCACTATTTAAAAATCTATAAAACACTGCTCGTATTTTTGTCTCAGATATGGCAGTACTCAGCAGTAGCAAGTGTTTTCCTAGGGTAGCTCTTGCAGTAGTACCTACATTCAGTGTTAGTGTTTCCTGCCTCTGGGTGACAGTAACAGATTCAGCTATAAAATTTTATGGTGGTGTTAGCTGCAATTCAAGTAAAACATGATACATGCCTTTAGGCTCACAAGTTCTCTTGTATGTCAGTTCTTAAAAAATTAATAATTCAGAAACTGGTGATGACAATTTGCTGCATTTTTCTTGGTTGTTTTTTTTTTTTTTAAATAAATGCACTCCCATTATCCATTAGTCACTTGTGATTAGTTTTTCAGCTAAGAATAATAATTCTAAAACTAAGTTGCAAGTACTTGGCTTCAATTAGCAGAGTAACTTTAACTTGCTGAGTTTGGACCAAGTTATGTTGATGGTTTTATATTTCATTCCTTCACCTCCTGAACTTCACCCTGGGTTCTAACTCTTTTTTAAAATAGATAGAGAAAAAGAAGATACTATAAATTTAAAAAATATCAAGAATAGATTTAAGAAGCAGTAAATGTTTTTCTGCTTCCCAGACGTTGCTAATTCAGGACTCCTGACATATATTGCACTGGAACCTTGGTTTATAATCTTGTTTATGGTAATGAATGTCAATTAGAAAATTGCAATTCCTCACTCTACTGTTTCATTTTATTCTTTCTGCAATAAGATGAATTCTGTGTCTTATTGAATGCTGTGGCACAGGATGAGCTGGTGAATGGCCATCATGAAATGCATTTCTGGAGTACTTTAGAGTTGTTTTCTTTTTCTTCCAGACATTTAAACTCCGAATTGTTTGATTCTGACTGAATTGAGCTCTTTAAATAGGGTTTTGCAAATTCGATTTTTGTTTTCCCTCTGGTAAAACAAACAAAGGGAACATTTCCTTTGCTGTACTCTCTGAACATTTTTATTCTTGTTTTTTGCTGAGTTTTGAAAACTCAAATAGTCAGAACAACTTCCTATAAATAAATATCGTATTCTGAAATATATTTTGCTATCTAGGGTTTTTAAAAATCTGTTTAAAGATTTTTTTTGGCTCACAGTGCTTTCATATCTTGCAGAATTTTAAAGTATGTTATTCTTTAAAGAGGTCATATTGGAAGTGATTCTGTAAAAAGGTTTTTGACTTTCATGCCACAGTGGTTGGGGTCTTTTGTCTGCTTTAGTTATTTTCTCTTCCCCGTGTCGCAGCTTTAAACCAACCTTTGGCCTCTGCAAGTAGAGCTGAGCTGGAGCAGCCCTTTCCTGCAGCGGGCAGTGCTCTGCACCTGGCAGAGGCAGAGCACCAGTTCTCAGGGAAGCTGCCTTTGTGCTTTAAAGCCTTGTTTTGATGCTCCAGAGGGGACAGCTTTTCCCATGCGCCTGCTCCTGCAGGTACCATGTGACAAGGTCCTGACTCCCCTGCTCTGACTTGGCCCTGCTTTGTGCTGGGGTGCGATGAGATGCTCTCTCAGGCATTGTCCTGGCTCAGATGGAGAGGGAGCTGCCCTGTCTGGAGCATGTGCAGGGTTCACCAGCACCAGTGATCTGAACTTCATCTGGCAGACTTCCCTATCCCTGTCTCATTAATATGTGTAATCACAGATTTTTTTCACAAATTAATTTTTATCTTGATGATGAGGGAAGATGCAAGCCAAGCATGCTTCCACATGAGTTTACAAGACTCATTTTTATAAAACAGAGTTCTTGCATGTGCAGAAGGAAGATGCCATTACTGGCATGAGCTCCCTGTGGCTGAGCAGGAGCAGTCTGGTCTCTGGAGCAGAGCGTGGTGCCACCATGCTGTTCCCAGTGACCTCTCTCTCAGCTTCTGCCCTGATAGTGGTGAAGGACTGCTTGATAAAATGCCTATTTAGCAGGAATCCCATGCTACTGAAACAGATTATGTCAATGATTAAGTAATTTTTGTTTATATTTGATCCCCTGGTATTTCCCTCTATCTTGCACTAACTTGTCTTTCCCCTAACCTCAAAGTAGTGTCCCCCAGCCTCCCTTCTTTTAGAAACATCCCAAGGTAGTCCTTGATGTATGTTCTGAAGGAGGAGCTGATGTTCTTTTTAGTTATTGTAACTTGGAACTCTTGTTATTCCTAGACATAAGACATTTTCATTTTTTTTTCCTTCTACCAAACACTTTGATTTTTCCTTTTGGTACTAAGTTTCTAAAATCAATTATGCACTGATTTTTTTAGCTTTTTTTAATAGCTGTCTAGCTAGACTGAGTAGAATGTAATTGTGTAGAATGACAGGTGCTATCAAACTTGGTTGTACTTAAATCCAGAGAACTGATATTCTAGATCTTTGTGGTATTTTGTGACAAGCTGAATAGTCTTTTGTATTCTGTATTGATACTCAAAATAGATTGAAATTATCTAATCTAACTGGCTGTCATAATCAAGAAAAACTCTGAAAATATGTTTTCCTCAGAGGTAGAGTATTTCCTGGGAATTAATTTATGTTGTTACAGTTTCTTATCACAAAATCCCTTATATGGAGACCTAGATCTGGAAACTAGATGGGCACTGCAGCAGGGGTGGTTTCAGTGGCAGTGCCACAGGAAGCCTGGGAACCACAGTGGTTGGTGTGAGAGCTTCCCATCAGAGCAGAAAGCAACAGAGGGCAGCACTCTGTGACCTCCTGTGCTTGTCTTCAGTTTGGGGTTTCTGTTCTCTCCTTGGTGTTCACCAGGATGGAGCAAATGAGTTTAGGGAAGCTTCATCAGAAATGTGACAGTGTTGCCTTAGGTTGCTTGGATACCCTCAGGGCATCTGGATGGAGCTTTTGGAAACAGTGGCCTCAAGTAATCTCTCTGTTTCAAGGTGCCTCCGATTTCCTCAGTGTTGTGGAAATTTACTGTCTCTGAGAAAAGCTGCCCAAAGGGCAGTACTGGTGTATATAGATAGTTCCTTCTTTGTCCGTGCTTATGTAAAAGGTTTGCTTAACCTGTGAGGAGACCATATAAAAAAGAGTCCCATCCCCAATCCCAGCCTTCCTGAACACAAGCTGAAAATTTTGGTCTGATGTTTTCTTGCTGTTGATACTCAAGGCTTCAGAAGATTGACTCTCACAGGGCCCCCCTCTGTTTACCATGTTCCTCTTCCAGCCTGAGCTTTGAATTCCTTGACATTTTCTAGGGAAGAGCAAAATAATCTTTATTTCTGTAGTATTGGGGCTGTACTTGTCCCATTTGCATGGTGAGTACATCTGTTGTTCGTAGAGCTTAGGTAGCGTTTATATTGGGCAGAGGGATGAAGCACCTCTTCAGTAACTGCTAGAGCTTGAAAGATGTTGAAGACCTTCAGTTGGTCAAATTATTTTGCAAGTCAATGTCCTGGTTGGCTGAATACTGGTATTATGATCTAACTTTTATTCCTCAAAGGCACCTTAAGCGAATATTTTCATTTCTTCTTTACAATAGCTTTGAATCTAAGAGTGATTTGGATGCAAGAATACTCAGTCTGCAGTGCTCAGACATAGGCTAAAATTAATCATAGTCTGTGTTTGCAGCATTGTCTTTCTATGCACTTTGGCTGCCTTAAGTAAAACTTGAATACTTGAGTGTTGTAGGTTCCATGTTTTACCATTTTTAACCTTTGTCTGTAGAACTTGCCTCAGCAGAAGTATGGAAGCAACTTGTCAAAACCTCAGGGTTCATAATATTGGAAAATACTGGGGGAATGATTTTTTCTGCTTTAAAAAGGAGGTCTTGTTCTCAATGTCTACATTAAAAAATACACAAGAGAAACAAAAAAAGTAGCTAGGTTTTTTCCCTTGCTGCTGTTAAATGAGTAACTTGCCGCTGCATTCTGCACAGCATCTCTGATCTCAACTGCATTTGTTTTCTGTAGAGAAAGTACTCTGTTAGGTTCAGAAATGATATCCTGGTCCTTGCTAACTCTTACTGGTTTGAGTCCAGGATACCTGAAACATGCACCAAATGACCAAACTTAATCTGCTGCTACCGAAATCAGTGGTCTGTATTTTATTTTTATTCTTATGTGGCTCTGAAAAATACCTTTTGGGAGAATATGAAAGGTAGGATTTGTTTTGCAGACTCTCTGAGGGAAAGAACGTTGTGTGTTGCATGTGTAGAGGACCTCTAAAAAAATAACATACAATAGTCTCTAGAAGATTTGATTTTTCAAATTTTAGTGTGGTTTTGTAATTTTCAAATTAAGATGGCTGTTGGACTGCTTTTGAAGTATGCTGTTACTTTGCATAATCACTTATACTAGTGTAAGCTTGTAATAGTCTAAGACTTTTTGGCTTTTAATAGTTTTTAATGCTGTCTTTTGTAAAAATAATAAAAATGTAGGTGTGAAGTATTTTTCTTTCCCATTTGAAAGCTGTTAAATAACATGACTGCTTTTTTGCCTGCTAGTAATTTGGTAAAGACTTGATAATAAACCAAATTTGTGACAAAGCAGCTAACTTTCTCATTTCATTTTGACTTCTCTAGAGAAGTTGGAGGTTGCACCACCATCTCCAGGACAACTGAGACATGGTAAAAGAAGAATGTTTGTTGAATGTGGTTCAGTATTTGTGCAGTCTCTCTTTGAATTGGCTTCATCTTTGTTCCACGAATGCTGGTCTGTCCTCATCCCTGTTGTATGGAGTAAGAGGAAACCAAAGCAAGCACCAACACTCACCCTGCTGCCTTTGTTTCATAACACCTCGGCTGGAGAATGTGCAACATTTAGTGAAAGTAGGACAGAGAGCCCAAATGAGAGCATGCTGTTCAAAGCCAGCAGCAAAGATTGTTTTTCTAAGCCAAGCAGTGTTGGTGCTGCAGTGCCTTGTGGAGGTTTTGTGTTTTAAAAGGACTGAGAAGTGGTATAAAATTGCAGAGAAATTGGAAACAGATTGTGTATTTATAATACCATGATTCAAATTCTGATTTCGTTTCCAAATTAGTGTATTTTGTGGTTTTGTACTCTGCAGTGAGCAAATTTGTTTAGGCAAACATTTTCCTTTTCTAATTATCTACATTTTTTTCTAATTTGGTTTCCCCCCACCCACGTTTGTCCCTGGGGTTCTGTTTGTTTGATGAATTCCAAAATTCTGTCCATTTCACTGAGAATTTGAGGTCCTAGTTTAGCTCCAGTACACACATTTTGAAAACACTTGGCATATCTGTGTGCTTTTTATGTTATTTATGTTTTGGTGGGTTTGTCCTGTGATAGTTTAAAAATAATTGGAAAGTTTCATAGGTTTTGTGCTGTACTCTTTCACCTGTGCAGTTCAAAAGATAAGTGTATCTCACAAAGTAGTTACAGATGTCCATTCATGTTCTAGTTCCTAAGCATGAAAGATCTTGAATGTGGCTTTGGTTTTTTTATGTGGTCATGGGTTCATACTGTCTGCACAAAGGAAACACAAAATGTACTTCTACCAGTTTTTTTCTACATGACTGTGAGGTTCACACACTCTTCTTTCATCCCTCTTCCTAGGTTTGCATCTCTTTAAGTTTATAAACTGTAGAAAATATAGTCCAGTATGAAGTGAAAAAAAACCAAGAACAAACTCCAACCAAATCCAAACTGAATACCTGCTGCATTTCAAATGTTAAAAAAATGAAAATTTTCAACTTTCAGCTGTATTTTTGTCATGTAGTCTGTCCTCACACTGTATTTAGTCTTATTAAGTGAGCACCTTGAAACTCAGCTGGAGACAACACTGTGCAAATTCAATCCCACCCCCATCAAAAGCTTACAGACTAAAACCTGAGAGAGAAAATGAAGCAGGGCAAAAAGGAATGATACAGTAGCACTGTGCTCATTCTTAGAAATTATTCAGACGAGAATGTTCCAAGCTTCTGCAACAGAAAATATTTTCAGAAAGGATTTAATGGGTTTCAGAAGTAAAAAAGAAGAAAATGCATGAAACAAAAGGTGTACCTTGGCTTCTTAAGCAATGTATTATGGAGCAGCTACAAGTCTAACTTGCACTGAAGATAATGCACAAACAAAATCAAGGTAGAGAAGTTTCGTTTGAAATGGTGAGACAATTAACAGTATATGGCACTCTAGTGAAACCCACCTTAGTAGATTTGGCTGAAGGAGTTTTGACAAGAATTGTCTAGCTCCAGACAGTGCTTTTAAAATATAAAATTTTAGGAATGCGTGAAGAAGATGGAACTTCTGCACAGAAATAGTGAGGGACTTGCAGAGAAAGAGCCTTTATTTCAAGCAAGAGAAGAATGCAGGGAGTCTGGTGAGACAGTTTGGTCATCTTCAGTGATAATGGATCATTGCTGTAAGGTCTGTAAATAATACCAGAGTTTGTGTAGTTTTAAGTATTTCTCTTGTGCACTAATAGGCATAAGTCACTTCCACCTGAAATTGTACAAGTATTTGCAAAGTAGGTTGTTTAGCTGGTTCTTCACAAGCCATCAGTAACATTTCTGTGTAGCAAAGGGTTTCACCATACCTGACAGCAACAAAAAGGTGACCAGTAGGAAAGGAATTTTGTGTATTTTGCTTTTGTTTCTCTTAAAACCAGTGTTAGACTTTTCAGTTGTTCCTGTGCACTAGAGAATTCTTATAAATATTTATTTTTTCTTTGTTACTTATTTCTTTTAGTGTTCTTCCACAATGCATTACCTTTTGTAGGGTTTGGATTTTTGGATAACGCAATTATGATTGCTGCGGTAAGTTCACTGTTTAATTCCTTGATCAAGTCTGTAAGATTCATATTTTTTCAACAGACTAGAATGGCCTGTGAGGTCTAGTCTAGAAAGTCCCCCTAATCAGGACCTTCTCAGGGTCTCTAGTCTAACCTCCTGCTCAAAGCAGAACCAGCTGTAAGATGAGACCAAGTTGTTCATGGCTTTATCCTGAGGGACTTGAGAAATCCAAGGGCAGCCTGTCTGAGCAACCTGTTCCAGTGCTCAGCTGTCCTCACAATGGAAAATGTTTTGCTATATCCAACTGGAACACGTCTTGTTTTAGTTCATGCACATTGTCTCTCATCTTTTGACCATGTACTGGCGTTTTATAAATGCAGGCCATGTGGTTTTGTTTCTTCAGCTGAAAACATAAGGAGCTGTGATACTGTGTTTTATTTGTTTGCTTGGTATTTGTAGAAGTTTTTGTTCAGAGCTGTACATTCAGCTAAGAATTGCAGTGGGGAAGATGGTATGCAGGGATAGAGGTTGCAGATTTGTCTACCAGCTTCCTGCTACAAGAGTATGAAATATTGAAAGATTTTCAGAAGTAGGCCCTTGCCTTAGGGGGAAATATATATGCCAGGAAGATAGGATTTCTGTGATCTAAAAGGAGAAATGTCCATTTATCCTTTCACTTTTAACATAGATAAGCAATAAACAATACTTCTGTCAGTTGTATCAATATAATTTATTTTAACTCCAAATCCCGCAAATAATGAGAAAACTGTTTATTTTTCAGGGAACCCAGATAGAATTGTCAATTGGAGTTGTCTTAGGAATTTCAACTATGGCAGGCAAGTATTAAAATTGCAGCACATTTAGAATAGTATGGCACATTCCCATATTTTAGGCTGAAAGTAGCACACAGGGCTGGAAATGGTTCTTCCTCAATCTTGCAGCTGCCTTTCCTAATAAAGAAACAACCTCTGGGTGAAGCAAGGACATATTCCATTTGCAGAAATGGAATTTCAGTTCAAATAGCTTTTGAAATGCTTTTTGTTGATTTCAGCCTAATAATTCAAATCCTGGGTTAGTTTGGAAAGTGTATTTGCATTTCTGTAATGGGACTGCCCTAAATTCCCCAGGGCCCAGTATCAATGTGTGTAGATATATGTGTTTGTACGTTGCTGTTGCCTTGCACTGCTAAGTGGAGATCAGTGTTGGTGTCTTTTTACTGCAGTTCTTGGTGGCCTCTCTGCCTGGGTGAGATAGCCCAGGAAGGCCAAGCAGCCACCCTGTTCCTGCACTGGGCCAAAACTGATAAGCTGTGCTCAACAGCTTTGATGCCTCTGCAGTGTCAGGGCGCTCATGGATCCAGCAGGTGCAGCATTGCTCAAAAGCATGAGGAGAGAGAGCTTAACTGAAAATGTTGCAGCTGAGCAAGTTAAAGATTTGGGAATTTGCAGGCCTTGGTTCAATATGAGACAGTCACAGGGAGGCTTATCTTAGTAAGGTCTGCTGTGAAATCATGTATTGTGTGTAACTTTGTTCACTTGTGTACAGTATTTCTTCTTAATTTGACACAGTTCATGGATATGTTGACATGTTTATCAAAGCTGCATACCTAAGTGACAGCTCCCTCTATTTCCAGTGCTCCTGAGCCTCTTCAGGCAGTGGAGGGCCTTGCTTGGTGTCTAGCATTAGCTGCATGGAGCTGATAACCATGCACAGCTGTTCTTAACTCCGATCTCAAAAGTTATGTTGTTTTCCAGGTGTTAGTGTTTTTTTTGTATTTGTCAAGTTTTCACCATGTAAATTGAGAAAAATAGTTGCACCTCTTACTAATTCTAGTCTGCTGCTGTTATGAAACTGTAATAAGGTCAAAATAAAAACACTAAAATATAAAGAACTTAGGTCCAGTCTTTAGATCTATATAAATTAAGAGTAAGCAAGGGTTACTGAAGGGTGGGAGCTGGTTGGTTCTGTTCATAGCTAAAATAATACCTTTTTCTCTTCCTTCTTCCTCCCTCCAGCTGCAGCTTTGGGAAACCTTGTTTCAGATTTAGCTGGACTGGGGTATGTATGAACTTGTGTTAAGAATATTAAGTGCATTCATTGAGATGCAAAGTGGAAAAATATTTTTTTTGTAATATAATATAGTTCTGTCTAATATACCTTCTCAGGTTGTTATCTCCAGGTCTGAAGAGATTTCCTTCTCCTTAGCTAAAACAATATCTCTGAAATGTCTTCAGGTCTAGGCATACCTATTTCTGATAAAAACAGATACAGCTTATTTTTGTTTTTAAAGGAAATTTCTGCATAACTGCTGAAAGTAAAGCTGTTTGTTATGCTTGTTTTTCCCACTTTCCCTCTGTTTTGTTTTCTGCAAATTACAAGGCTTGCCACTAACTAGTCTGCGTATAACCTTTCCTCCAGTAAATGTTACTTAAAAAGCTCTGCATAAATGCATTGACATTCACACCAGTTGTGTTGTGCTGCATAAAGTTTTTTGGAAATATTGTATATTAAAGCAGTGAGATAATTAACTTACATTGTAAAATGTGACCTTTAGAAGTCTGAACTCTTTCCCATAGTTTTCTCTCAACCACTTCATTGGTATGCTGAAGGAAAAGCTCTGGTTTTTAAGTGCTACAATTTCAACTAGAAAGAAACTTCACTAGAAGATATGTGACATTCAAAATCGTTTGTTCTTCTTTTCTTGTTCTTCCAGTCTTGCAGGTTATGTAGAAGCTTTGGCTTCACGACTGGGTCTGTCAATCCCTGACCTGACACCCAAACAAGCTGACATGTGGCAGACCCGTCTCAGTGCACACTTGGTGAGTATCCTGCAGGCAGCACTGCTGGCGTGGAGCTTTTTGTCTTTAAACTAGCTGATAAATGTTTTTTGTCACTTTTTCCATTTATTCCTAAATGACTACCAACATTGTGCATGTTCTCCAGAGTCTTGAGCCCGAGTCAGGGAGAACCAAGAGATTGGGGTTTTTTTTGAGCTTGAGTTTATTTCTATGCAGCAAACCCCAAGTGACAAGTGACATGGATAGTCTCTGCAATGACTGTGTATGCTTTGCAGATACCTGGGTTGAGCTCTGGCTATGGTGATAAGATAATTTACTTGGAAGTAATGACCCCTTCGTAGTTTACTCTATACAGTCTTTGTCAAGTGCTTGCTATTCATATGCCTGTACGGGTTTGTACTAATTTCTGATATTCTATAATTAGCTTGGATATGAAATTAGCTTTTCTCTGGCCAAACTTTTAGCATTTGAGTAATATTCACTGCCTGTGTTTACAGTTACAGGCCACTCACCTTGCAGATGCATTTTCAGGGTGATTACTTAACATTTAAACATTTGAAGTGGTCCCACTTCAGCAGTGACACCAATGATTATAGAAACAGATTATCAGAAACAGAGTAAAGAAACAGATACTTCACTTTGCCAGAATGAGCCTTCATTGGGAAAAATACTTTTGCAGATTTACGGGAAGATAAATAGCACTTACTGAGGAAAAGTTGTAATAGAAAAAGTCAGGTTTTAGCAGTGATAGATCAAAGCACAGAGCAGTGAAGAACTGACAAGTTGTCAGGGATCTGCCCATAGTCTAAGAGTCTTCTCAGTAAAAGCTGAGCCTATGGCAAAACCCTGTCATTGCACTCAGTTTGTTCATATTCCTTTTCTGTGAAAAGACTTCTGTGTACCTTTGCCTGCATGGTAGCATTTTTTCTTTTTTACGTGCTGTCTCAAGTTTTTCAACACTATCCACCTTCTGCTATTGATGTGATTTGGAAGTTGCTTGTCTTTCTTATTTCCTCTCCTCTTGACTTATACATTCAACTGAAATGTTTTCCAGTTTTTGTTGGTTTTGCCTTGTGCCTTTGAAAGCCATCATGTTTGCAAGGAGCCACTCATTCCTTTGGTGATTTGCAGTACCAGATACAAGCAGATGCATTTATAATTGCACCTAAAATGTCTGTAGGTGTTGTTTGGTGGTTTGTTGTTTTGTTTAGTTTTTTTTTCCTTTTCTCTCTTCCTGGCCATTCTGCTAATCCTTTGAATGTCTGTTTCCTCCCTTACCACTTGTCATGATCATTGCCCTCGTCCTTCTTCAGAATTGTCTTTTATCATAGCAAACACTGTTTCTAACCTTGTCACATCTGTCTCACTCTCATAGACTGTGTTTGTAGTCTGCATGCAAAGAAAAACGTGACTCCCAGCTGAAAACTAGAACAAGGGGTGTTTGTTCCTGGTTGTGGTAGTACATGGGAAATGAGTAATGACTGATCAGTGAAAAATTTGATTTTTTTCCCCCTTTCTTTAGGGTAAAGCTATTGGAGTGACCATTGGCTGCATTTTAGGAATGTTTCCCTTGTTGTTCTTTGGCGAGGAGGAAGAAAAACTGGAAGAAAAATAATGATCTTTTTACAAGACATATACAAATGTAAACTACTGTACCTCAATTATTCAATTATACTGTCAATATTTAGGAATTAACAGACAGTAAAAAAATGTATAGACTTGGGAACAAAACCTTCAGCATGTCATTTTATGGAAACACTAATTTATTGTGGCCTTGTTGTGTTCAGTACTTCTTTTTATGAGATATCATCTAACTTTTTATTTAATTGTAAATTTTTGAAGTGTTTTCACTTATGGCAAGATGTTTACCACTTTCCCCTTTGAACTTATTCTTTAATGGATTATTACTTCAATAATCCACCATGGATGACAGTATCACTCTTGAGTTGCATATTGGTTGCTTAACAGTTGTAATCACATGACAGAAATATCACTGGTGGTCCTTCAGTGCAGATTATTAAGAAGGTTAGTGATGAGTAATTTGAAGTCCCTCACTTTTCAAGGTCACTGGTTGCCCCTCACCAGCCATCATTTAGCACTGCCTTAGATTAGATATTTCAGTGATCTTTGACAGTATAGGTTCATTTTTTTCACAATTCTGACTTAAGTGTCTCTGAATTGTCTTTTGAGATGATCATGTTGATACTTTGACAAGGTAAGTGTTTCCAGTGTAGGCTCTCTACCAAGTCCATTTTTAAAGTGGTGTTTTAACACCTTCTATAGTTCCATATTCATGCCTTTTTTTTGCCTTTCTAAACATATTTTGCTAATTGAGTTGAAATATCCTTGTATTTGTCTTCCTGTGGTTTGAGTGTGATATTAAAGAATTCAAACCAACTGTTTCAAAACCACAAAGAACTTTTTTAATTGTTCTGCTTAAAATAAGGTGTGAATAGTTGATTGGGTAGATGAGGCCAGGGAACAGTTCAGGCTATGAATGAATGCTCGCATTACAAGTTTGTACTGAGTGGTTCAGTTGAAATGGTAAGTGTACCATCAGTCTGGATTAGAGGATTTGATGATAATATCTTTGTGTTTAAGATTAAGCCTTTGCCACATTTTTTTTTTACTGAGACAATTACTTATAAAAGCTAGGCAAGAAAAATAGGAGAATCCAGACCTTTTTACTTTTTTTACATTTATTTTTGCAGTCTTACTTGACATAATATAGACCTGACAGTGCAGTATCATGTAACTGCTTTTTTCTATATGGTTATGAATAAAATTATGACAACTATTGAATAGTCATAATATTTCAGGATCTTACTTGCTAATAGCATAATGCTAAATTGCCAATTGTCTCCTAGTTTTTTTACTTGTTTGAATACCATTTGAAAAAGCCACTGAAAATTGGCACAGCCAGGGCACTTTGAAAGTTTTATTGCTGAAATTGCTAGCACTTCTGAAACCTAGAAAGAAATGCTAAAAAAAAATAAATAAGTCCCTTGATGATTTTTATTTGCTGTAGGAAAAGTCTTAATGTAACGTGTGTATTTTACAAAGCTTGTTGCTTATCTCATTGTTATAAATCTGACTTCTCTGTTCTGATTTCTAAAAGCCCTTTAACAGCAATACTGAAACTAACTTTAATGAAGGTGACACTTGTATCTGTTTCTTAAGAAAACAGATGTTGACAGTTTGGAGTGAGTAGTCATAATAGTATGTGCTGTACTTTGCACATTAAACCATGAAAATCTGGACCAAGATGTAAAACTGAACGAAGGCTCAGCCAAGCATCAAACGCAAATGCAGAGGAATTTTGGCTTGCACTTCAAAGGTGGAAGCTTTGTTAAAATAAAATTAAATAAAACAATAAAAAACAACAACAAAACCCACAACTCTTAACAAAAAACCAAAAAACCCCAAAAACCCCAACCCACAAAAACAATCCAGAAAGGCAGTTATGTGCTCTTTCACCAACAGATTGCTTCAGTACTTCAGTGTTCAGAAGTATTTTTACTCATTTATCACACATTTATCTTGCCTTAAACTTCTAACTTTTCTGCCTCTCCATGCATTTTTGTTTCTATACAAAGCAGTATTTCCAACGTTTTTCTTAAACTGAAGTACCAGTCAAAGCAATTTTGCATAGCTTCTTTTGTCACTGTTTTTACAAATATTTCAACACTATTTCCCATTACGATACTGGCATCTTGATTGGAATCTTCTAGCAGTGGTCAAATCACTGTTCTTTGGCATTGTTCCATCAGAACACTCTTTTCATCACTCTATTACAGCTCATGAGAACAATTGGAAGGTTGTGCCAGCTGTCACAGTAATATTTGTTTTTTATAATGGCAATAGGAAAGGCTGTGTACTATTGTTAAATAGCTTGTGCATGTAAATTTAGTACCTTTTGTTGCTGTATGTCAAACTATTGTACTGCAACCAGTGCTATTATTGAGAATCAATGAACTAAAATATCTTGAAAGAAGTTAATCATGTGTTGTCTTGTTAAACTGTTTAGTTGACCACAAAAATGTGGAGGGCAAGTGACACATGGTAAGAAATATTGGGTATTTCAGTCTGATACCATAAAGAAGAAGGTGACTTCTGGGGGTTCAGTATTTTATAAAGGTGAAGAATAACTTGTGGTGTGAGAGGATTAGTGGTGCTGCTGGAAGCTCAGAGAAAGTGCTTGTTGGGGCCAAGCTGCCCTCCTGAGAACCAGGTTGTTTCCTTTGGCTACAGGATCCATGCCTGTGTGAACGTGAGACTGCTTTGTGTGGAAGGGAAGATCTGTGCCTGATCTGTGCCCTGTCTCTCCACAAGGAGAGTGGCTTTTTCTGGGGTATATGGATGAAAGTAATCCCTGATGCTCTGATCACTTTTACTAAAAACCTGAGAAGACAGAGTCCCCTTTATTTTCTGGTATCTTCTCCCTCCTTGATAAAAGGAAAAATTAAACACTTCAGGCTTGTTCAGAGACTTCAGTATTGCTCTGTTTTTTTTTATTCTATCAGTTTGTCCTGTATTAACAGGAATTGTTTTTGCCTTGAAGGGCTGGTAGACCTGAAATTGTGTTTGAAATACTGTCTTCTATTGTAACTTAAATTATAAATGTATCTTTGACTGTATGTTATCTCTAGGAACAAAGAACATGCATCTGATAATAGGGTTACTCAAATCTTCTTGCCAGTGTTTTCTCATGCATGTACTTTTACATAAATTATTTGAATTCAGACAACATATTTTGTATTGTCTTTAATTAAATTGTTGAACTTTCTGTAAACTTTTGTACTACAGCAAAGCTGTTCTGTGTTTCTTTAATAGACCAGATGCTGGAGGGAAAATGTTAATAATATCCTGTGGGTATTCAGCCTCAGTTATACAAAATAGGAATTTATTATATTTAAGTTATAAGCAAGTGGTCCTTTGTCACTGTCATAGGAAATACCACCGTGGAGTGGTACTTCTGTCTCTTCGTGCTCGGAAGAGAGCAATTTAAACAATTAAAATGT